CAACTGAAATTTTTGTCCCCGCGCGTTCTTGAGACGCGATGATTTGTTTATAGAACGGTTAGAAATCTGTAAGCAACGTAGGCCTGTCACTTCAACTAAAAGGCGTACAAATATAGCTCATTGCGAGATTTAAGTGAATTTGATGGAAAAACTGAAAATAATGCAACGTATGTGACTACCGAAAAAAGCGTAAGTCAAATTCATCTAAGTGTGAAATCGTGTGGATATTCCAGAATTACGCACTTAATTATCTGAAAACTGGAGAATGATGTAGAATGATACGTCGATGAAGGTTAGACATCCAGGTAATACGATACGCCAAAAAGTAGTTACTCAAGCAACTGGATATAATTTTGAAAACGTCAGACTAATTTGCATCATCTTGTCTTGACTTCTCTGACTGTTGTTCCTTTTTCGACTTCCAAAAATTTGTCTTCACCTCATATCAATCAATAGGTTGTGCTTATAAACCTGCATTTCCTCTCTGGTATCTCAGTCACTGACGAAAGCTAGTGGATACTAGCTGAAATGTCTGACGTTTTCAAAATTATATCCAGTTGCTTGAGTAACTACTTTTTGGCGATGTAGAATGATTTTTGACAGAAAATTTGTCAGAGTGTATTTCATGATACCCACTCTTTGTAATTAGTGTAGTTCTCAACTGCATTGCTCTATTTTATTCAGAAACTGTAATTTTGAACGTTTGCCTAATACTTGTCTTCATCTTTGAACTGTAACCATGATCCAACAACTGACACGAACTCTGGAATAACATTGTACCATGTGTGGAACTTGCATTTCGTACCTCGAAAGTCAGACAATATACAAATGCCACAACAAAAATGTTGTCCATTGACTTTTAATGCAATTTGCAGCAATCACTTTTAAAAAACTGTTGAGTTTCATCTGTACTATTTATTCAATTTTCCTATGTTTGACACATGTTCAAACTAACAAACATGCAGGACAACAATGCCCTAACACATACATTCTACTTCTCAAGAAAGAAATCATTCAATAAATGTCTTCACTCAATCAATCACATTATTCTGTGCGGGAATGTCAGAAGTACAATCCACGTTGCCTTCATATCAGACAAAAATAGAACAATATCAGTTCTAATCAGTCTAAAATTCATCCAAAATTGCAAATAATCACATAAAATCCATCTAAAATAGGTACTGGCATGGAGCCCAACAAATTCATGGAACAAGAAATGTTTGTGTGCTAATTCAACTATTTTTTGGGCTGCTTTTTATCAATATTGAAAACTACATCATATAAATTTTAGATAGATTTTCTGTTGTGAAAAACATAATTCAAAGTTGTAGGATTTCAAACAAATCTGATATGTTTATAATGATAGGCTGTGCTTCTTAATGCACAAAGTTTTGGTCCTTTTTGTTCATAGCATGCCCAAATCATGTGACATTTCATATTCTACTGCAGGGCTACCATACTAACATTGTTTCCTATAAACCAGAACAGGACCTATAAGTCTACCATTACATGGTATGTCCATGTGGCATCATGTGCTTTAATGCAACCGTTTGCTGTCACACACTGAATCAACTAAAACTCTAACTTTTGGCTACTTTGTCAATACAATACTTGAATGTGTAGTGACACTATACAACAGCGTTCTCTGTCACTGTAGTAGCGAGTTTTACATTCTTTACTGAATTTTATAATTTGCTGATCTTGGAAAAAGGTTGCTGAAACACTTCCAAGATAGGAAATTCCTGGGCCTCTTCCAGATTCGAAGTCCTTCTCAGTTAATCGCAACTGGAAATCATGAAATCCAAATTTATTTCTTGATGAACTGGAAGAGGGTGAAAGTTTGACTGATGAAACTGGAATGGCAAGTTGACTGGAGCTGGGTGAAGCAGTGTGTATCAAGGTAAGTCCCTGATGATGTCATCCAGCAGTCTGAGGCAGGGTTCCATCTGCGGGCTCAGCTGACACGCCTTCACAAACCTGGGAGGACAGAGAACTTACCATCAATGGTACGGTCTTCACAGAGAGAATAGCCATTCATTTCTCATTCATCAAATTAAAGGTATTACTATTAGGTCAGTTGACACTGGAGTGATACAGGTCTTAAACTCAATGCTTTGGTGTTCACAGAGAATGTCCTCAATTTGGCAAATTTTACTCAGATTTGTACATAGCACACTGCATTATACAGCTATCAAAAGAAAAAAGGAACGACAGTCTACCCTTCATAATAGAGTTGGTTTGTCAGATTTATGTACTTGTAAGGAATGATGCTTTCTGATGTATGCTTGGAATAATTCATAATTACTAGGCAGGTTGAAAATTGCACATACACTTTCTATTTCTGAAATCTGCCTAGAAAATCACCCAATCATATATGACGTGTTGACAACATACCTTGGCCTGAACTGGTTGTATCTCTCCTTCTCCAGGTAGCTTTGACTCAGGGCCTTCTTACACTGTTTGGCCAGACCGCTGTAGCACTGCTGCTTGGCAGCGTTGTGGGAGGGGCAGTCGAAGGTGGGCAGGTCAGACACACAGCGCCACGCTCTCAGGGTGTAGTCTATACACGCACCCCACTCCTGGGAAAACTGCAACGCCTTGCCCTGGTTCAGGCACTCTCTCTGCAGGGAAAAGGAGATAGCCTTTATAGATAGCCTTTTTAGCCTTTACCCTAACATCAGACCAGTAAGTTACATGCAGTGGAAAGTCAGCTTCGTACATCGAGTGTCTCATTTTTTCTTGACCATCATTTCAGTCTTTTATACTGTATATCACTTATCAGTGCATTTTCAGCCATAGTCACCTTTTCAAGCTGAGGTCGATCAGAGAGTAAGGTTTGAACCACTGGCACTGGTAAGGACCTATACTCATTTTCACCTGAGTTAAGTGGGGGAAAAGGTATAAAGTACCTTTCCCATAGGCTCAACAGTGAGGCCTGCCAGCCATTCGAACCCAGAAGCTTGGGATTCGGAGTGAACAACCCTACCCACTTTGCCACCATTTCTTGTCAATTTTTCTCGAGTTCACATCAATCACAACAGAGTTGTTACCATGGAGATTTTGTACATCTAAATTACTTCTGAATGATACATCTGAAGACAGAAAAGCAGTTTATCGACATCACAAAAACTACTTTACAGGGAGAGTCCCTACAAGCAATATCTTGAAAAACATTGCCAACAAATGCAGACAATTCACTTTGATGTATATGAATCTTTCAAGTAGGGCATGGTTCAATCATTCATGTTATCATTTCACAAGGGTAGCTCTATCAGTTTCACCAATAAAGATGGTCCTGGTGTGCTAGTAATGTACCAAAATGGCAACAGTCATTCAAAACATGTCAGTTACCATGCCAACAACAGTTCTTCAGAGAGAAAGTTTCTGAAGGTGTATTCATTTCAAGTTACTATCTATTATTGGGTTGTTCTGCATTGATGAACCGTCTAAGAAAACATTTCTGTGATCTAAATGCTCTTTGAACAGCTTGGTCACTGAAGAAAGCCCACATCTTCCTTTCCAGAAAAAAAAGGCACAAGATTTCAACTTCTTTTGCAACAGCATTTTAGCCAGAAGAAATTAACACCCCCAGATAATTGCTATCGTTAAGATAGATGAAAGAATTGTTCAGGAAAGTAAAAGTAAAGACACTTTAATATGCAGTACTGTAATCTGCACTGCAATGATTGTACCAACTGAAATTTCCTTTCATTTCATGGAACAATTACACATAGCCTCACGAATATGGCCTCACGAACACAGCTTAACTCCCCCAACAATGGTTAGAGGAGTAAGTTGGATGCCTTGGTTAGCTTGTATTTGGCAAGGTTGGCTAGTGTTCGGCTCGAATTTAACCCAAATTTGACTTGATTCATATAGAAAGGTGGGCATGGCCTAAATCTGGTCAGAACTTTGGCTAACCCTTGACTGGTTGGTGGTCAGGGGTGATGGGTCTGAATGTGTGACAGGGGCTTAAGACACCCATAAGTGATTCAAGTTTTTTTTTCCCTCCATTGAAAAATCAAAAACATTACTCACCCTGAAGTGATCCAGGTGTCTGGAGACTTTCCTGTAGATGTGTACGTCCCTGGCCGTCCCCAGTCTGCTGCGAGGGAAGGACTTGTACACAGCACGGACCAGCGAACTCAGGTGGTCTTCATGGCTCGATAGGTCTGGTTCAGGAAACATCGATTGAACCTCCTGCGGGCAAAAGACAGGATATGTGGAGTTGAGAAATTGACCAAATTGGACTACATTTATTACTACATTACTTTTTAATTTTTTTATGTGTAAATAAATGAACAATAAGTACACGTATTTGCACATAAAGTACACATTTTTGGCAAACATACTGTAAATTTTTCGGGGCACTTTTGTATTTAAGGTTTTTGCAGTTACTTATATACTGCAAACTTATCATTACCATGAACGACTTTCTTTTTGCTGCACCCGCCACCACCGCACAGGTATAGTTCCACAACATGACCATTTTTCTCAGATCCAGAACTTTTGCTACTGCGAACATAAAGTGATTACAGTAGATGGCACAATGCATGTTTCTTTATCACATAGCAAAGATCTCGACAGAAGTAAATCTTGCAGCTAAAGTCTTGCAGCTATTGAATTGCCATGCATGTCCATCCTGTTACCTGTTCCAGCTGTGGGTGTCTCTCATAGATGACTGTACTGAGCAGCTCCACCAGTTGGGCCTTACTGAGGGCTGTTAGCCTGGCTGACAGGTGGGCTGGCTGGGGCACTCTTTGCACCCGGGTTCGCTTTGGTGGCTGGGGACCTAGTCTATTATTGTTCTCCTGATCACCGTCAGTTGTCATGATGTCCAGAGGGGTCATTTGGAGTCGTTTTCTGTCAGAAAAAAAGTTATAATGACTCTAGTTACATACGTGATATGTTGTAAGTGGAGCTGTGTACCAATACACAGTACTGGCACTATACTGCAAAACTTGATTAGAAACACATCCAAAATACCCAGTCACTAAGTAGGGTACTGTACCTGTATCAAGTTACACTAATCATATGCTTATAAGTAGTAAATAGATGATCTCCCATGGGTCCCAGAGACAGGACTTGTGTTTGACAGTTTTAACTACCCTGAAAGATCTGTTGCATGTTAGTTATGCTTCTTACTGGTGCAGGTAATTTACAATGTTACTTGCACCAGTGTAGGTATTCAGAAAAAAGTATTTCAAGCATTTCACTATTTGAACATGAGCATAATCTACAGCATGACATCCAATTCAATCAGGTGAAATACTCACCTTCTTATTGTGTCCTCCTGGCTCCTGTCTGGAGTTTGAAAGAACATGTGGAACTCTGGAGATGATTCTTCTGTGTGGAGGAAAAAAACGAAGTCCCAATTCATTCTAATGTTGGAGATAAAGTTTAGTCTTTACTTCATAATGACTTGTACCGACACAGATGAACTTTCATGCTAAGTCAGTGAAAACCCCCTTTTCTTTCCTAACATGAAATTAAACCACCACAAAGGTAAGAGGGCCTGCAAGCCCTTTTTCGTAAGGCGTAATCAGGCCGTTTTAGACTTCGTAATTAGTAGACAGCCTCCGAAAAAATCAACGTAATTCGTAATTGGACATCAGCCGCAAATCGTAAAGTCGTAATCAGCTCTGAGACTTTAACGTAATTCGTAATAGGCGGTGAAAATTTTGCGTAATTCGTAATCACTACTCCCCTTGCAGGCCCTCAGGTAAATGCACTAGTTTGTACTACAGATCAAGAAATCGAGTCACCCACCGTTTGCCCTGTGTTTGCTGGTTGGCGATGTCACGGCGGTGTTGTTGAGTTTGGTGGTGATGTGCCTGAGGGTGTCCATGACTGGCCTGGGTCTCCCTCCCGCCCAGACCGGCCTGTCCAGTGTGACAGGCAGCCGCGGGGAGCTGGTCATCCTGGGGGATCCCTCCACCTCCGTCTCAGACTCCGTGTCACCATCGTACCAACCGTCGCCCCAACTGTTGTCTGGAAAGACAATACCAACTTATTGTTTAACCTTCTCACAGCTAGTTTAGCACTGGGAAGGTTAATATTGCTATTGCTTTTGCAGCCAAGAAAAAAAAAGGGCTGAATTGTGGGGAGGCCCGAGCTAACAATCAGTGGGGTGGAGTCTCAATGGTCTAAAGTGACTTCCATTTGAGTCATTGCACGAGAAAACCAGGCAAAACCAGGCAGAGGTCAGAAGATGGGGGTCGGCCAAATCGGCTCATACCCTGTATGTAAGATAGGTATGAGGAACTATTAACCCTTGTCCTGCTGGCAATTTTTACACAATATTTTTAAATAATTTGATGTCTTAACCAGGTCATAGACCCTTGACTTTTTTTTTGCCCTGCGGTGGCGTAGTTACTTCCGCATTCGTTGCGTTTCACTGCGGTATGATGCGTTGTGCAAGAAATACCCCCAAATTGTACATAGGCAGGGTGCTATATAGATGGTACTGTATGTGCAACCCATATATATATATATGGGTTCCGCAGGACAAGGGTTAAGTTGGCCCGGTTAACAGCCATATAGTTGAAACCCTCCGGCTATTTTTCGTTGGCAATACACATTCTTTCCTTGGTCAGACACAGGCCATGGATTCTTCAATAGAGTTTCTGCAATCTCAAACTGCAGTTACCTGATCACCAGGTGTTGTCTTCTCCCAAACAGTATAACAGTAATACTAGCACTTGAATACAATTAAAACCTGGGTTAATTTATGCAAAGCTCATGTGCAAACATGGGTTAGGTTTCCTCTTTGGTTAAATGCACAGTAAGCCAGAAGTAGTCTTTACTGTATCCAAGAAAAAAGCCATTATGGTTTAGAAATGTATTAGTTACATCTCAACAATCATAAAACAAAAAGTCTAAAACTACATAATTATGTCCTCCTCGTTGTATAAGTAAAAAAAACAAAAAACATTCCAACATCTCAGAAAAAACAAGGTTGTTTACTTGGCATTCAAATTAACTGAGTTTCTATTTAAAGGTATGTGACATTTACGTAAGTTATCATCATAAAAGACAAAGGTAAAAGAAAGCACACAGATTGGTACCACGGCCAGGGGGCTGGGAGGTGATAGGTCCCACACTGGTGAGGATTAAAAAACACAACAGGGTGAAACCCTCTTTCGCGGGTTTTTAATCATGGAGAATTTGCATATCAATCAATCAACCAGATACAAGTAAGCTGAGAAAAAAGACGCAAGCTATATAGCTATATACATGTAACGTTAAAGTACACTGAAAAAGCTGTGCTATGTGCAAGTTGGTTAGCAAGCCTTTCCTTACATATTCAGTTGAGCATCAAATACATGTACACGGGACGGGACACAGGTCTAGACCAAAATGTAGCAACCTGTGATAAAAGAGCTTCACAAACAAACAAGCAGACAACTTGGCTTGGCTTATTCTTTTTATATACCCACGTCTCCTGGTAGATAATTTGTAGTAAATAAAAACGTACCTATATTTTGCAGTGAGTGGTGCCTCATCTCGCTAACGGGCGCGTCCAGTTCGCCCAGCGGTTGTCTGTTCCCGACTACCGGGCTCACAGTTCTGGTCCCAGCTATTGTCGCCATTTTGCAGATTTTTTTTCCAGGCAAGTTGCTACAAGCAGGACTTTGGTCTTTCACGAAAGGGGGTGTTTTTGGACACAGTTTTCCAATAATACAACAACTGTTGAACTAGAAAGGTATCAACTACGGAATTTGTGGGAGAAAAATTGATTCTAACGCGAAAAAATCGAGAAAACAAAAAAATAAGCTGGGACCCCGGGCGTCACCCCTGCAGCGCTGAGGAAAAACCGCGAAAAAATGTTTGCGAATCTTGGCGCGAGAAATGTTCTTCGTGCAGTGATTGGTCAGCTGTTGACCTTTAAACCGATTGTTGATTGGTCGATTCTTACATAGCCAGTCTGTGATTGGCTGTCTCTGGCTGCACCCCTTTCAAAATGGCGGCTAGAGTTCAAAAAGTTGTAAAGTCGCCAGAGATTTTGACGCAGGTTTTTCTTCCGTGATGGTTTTCATGGAGGTATCAGGGTGGACGGGGACATGAACACTTTGTAAAAAGTATGGTAAGGAGACTTTGTCGTGTACTTATAGCAGAATGCCATAGTTGTCGTAAAATATTGCACGCAAATCTTGTTCGAAACCGCCCCCCTCCCTCCTCCCTCATCCAAAAATTATTTGCCTGCCTTCCTCTGCCTACAAAATAAGTTTGGTGGTGTCGTATTGTCTTACAGAGGAGAGGTTACAGCGAAAACCATGAGAACAAAAGTAGCACAAACACCTCAAGATTGAGAGTATGTATACACAATTTAATACAAAGTTCCTATAATGCAAATTGTGTGTATAAGTTAACGTTATATAACTGTTAGTGTTATAAACTAAACTGAAACTGTGTATATTTGAAGGTGGAGCAAAAACTTGAGTCAGTTATGTTCTGTTTTGTTTTGTAGGATCAGTAGCCACCCGTAATATCTTTTGCAATCGCCATTAAAGGACCTTTGATGTCAAATGAGAGGATGGCAGAAAGTATGGAGACTACCTCACGTCCTCGCAAGAGACGGATCGGTCTTGTTATGGAGGACGATGACCTCTCCTGGAGCTTCCAGCCCGAAACCAAGAGAATCTGCACCAGCGGTGACAACACCAGTCCCGAGGACGACGTTGTCTGTAATATTGTAGTAAAACAGATGCCTCCGGAAAAAGTCGGGGAGATCATTCAAACAACCAGTGACGAGTTTCAATGCCAGATTCTGGGGTGCAGCAAGTACGTCAACAGCATTGCAGAGTTCGAAACCCACTACAACACAGTGCACCGTAACGTGTGTGGGGTGTGCAAGAAGTCGCTGCCATCGGCCTACCTTCTGGACATTCACCTGCTGGAGTGGCACGACTCTCTGTTTGAACTGATGAGTGAGAGACAAAACATGGTAAGGATCAAAGGTTTTGGGGGAAGTAGAGACTCGTGATATATTCTATTTTAGACAAATGTTGAAAATCTAAATGGGTGAGCATAGTGCCAAGGTGGTCTTGTGGTTAGGGTTGTTAACTTAGAATCTAAGGGTTCTGGGTTCCTGTATGTTACTGGATCAAACCTCACAATCTGGTCTGCTGCAGCTTGTACTTAATGTACAAAATTGGCGTGCTACTGGTATACATGTCAACTGAACTGATCTGAGAACGGCCACGTCAGTTGCAGCTTTTAAAAACCGACTGTGTCAAGTCACTTAGAATGACTAAATTTGTGAACTGAAATTTGGATGCTTGATACTGATGAGATATAATGAGTTACGAACCGAGATAGTGTTTGAATTTGTGTATACCGTTACTTTGTATATACATGTATTTAAATTGTGATTCTACGACTGATTGACCCCTGACCTACCTCCCCTTGACCTCTTGAAAAATGGCTTAGGCCGAAGAGTTGTACTGCTGCACACATGTACTGTACATTTTCAAGGTTAAATGAAGGTTGAAAAAAAAATACATTTATATTTTATTCACATACAAGACAAACAACAAGCAGTTGCAATATCCTGCAGGAGGTACTAAGTACCAAGACGTATTAATTGCTGACAGTTCTCTTCTTGCAGTACCAGTGCCTGCTGGAAATCTGCCCTGACAGCTTCCGCAATGCTCATGACAGGAGAAGGCACATGGTGCAGGTCCACAAGTATCCTTCCAACTTCAAGTTTGACAAACCAAGGAAAAAGGACAGGTAAGAGTTGAGTAGAGTGAAGAAGAGTAGAGCTTGAGTAGAGTAGAGTACCCGATTTCAGCCAGGTACAAAGATGACTCTTCCTGTTCTGGGGCCGCCACTCACAGTTCAAACTGTCATTCCTGGCTTGTGTGAGCTATCCAGAGGCAACACAGCCGCTGACGTCTGGCAAAATTACTTGGCTTCTTATTTCAATTTCTTTTAAGTCTATATCACTGTTAAGTCTTTGTTTGTTATGCTTGTTAAAGAAAGGTTCTTTTTTTATCCAGAAATGCCCATGATGATAAAGCAGGTGCGAAGAAATCACCTTCCCTTGCCAAGTCTGAGGATACCAAGACAGGTTTAGCCATGGACACAGGAGCACCTGTTGAAGCATCAGCTGCCCTGGATGCAGCACCTGGTGTAACCACAGGAAACACACAACCAGCTGGTGCTACTCACAGACAGTACAGGTGAGCACACCTACATGTCTTGGAAACCTTGGGCTTTGGCGATAGAAAGATTTCCACTACATGTATTAGCAGCTTCTGATAAAAATGAAAGAAATGTCAACATGTCATAATGCATGCAGAAAGGGAATTCTGTATCTTTAATTCAATCATCGAATGCATGCACATTCCAGAGCCTTTCTGTTTCTATCATACAAATTCTGTTGTTTTGAACAGAGCTAAGAAAGTAGTGTTAAATCTGTGAATAGTTAAGCATTACAGTCTGTAAGTGAAAGTGTGTCATTTCTGCCTTAGGATGCAAGTACTCTCAGTCTCAGTCATAATAACTGTTGTTGATAACTTATATTTCATAAATCTCCACAATGTTCCTTTGCTGTAGAATGCCCAGGCAGATATGTTTTGGCAGAGGAGCTCCAAGGGGCTTTGAGCACACAAAGCACAAAAGGCCACCAAAGAAACAAGGAGGCAAGAAGAAGGAGGAGAAGCAGAAACTTCAGGAAACACCTGCTCCAGAAGCTGTACGACATGCAGAGGAGATGGAGCAGGTAGATCAATATTTCTTTCTCTTTTTGTTGTTTTAATTTTTGATCAAATGCCATTACTAGTGTGCTTGATTGAAAGCAAGTGGCCTTAGTTTTTTCCATGCCAAAAGTTATGTAGATCATTTCTTTATTTTTACTCAAATTTGATAATTGTGCTTGTAAATTTCTCTTATTGTATGATGTATGTATAAGAGGTAATATGTAGATATCAGAATAACAAGCTGCTGCTATGTGTTTCTACAGGAATCTGTGATGGAAATGGAGGAGATGCAGTAAGGCTGCCTCACTAAGGATCAACCATCATCATACTAGTGCCCTATATATTGACAAAGTTGAAATATAATAATGATTGTCAAAAAGAATGCAGTTTTGACTGATGTGATGTATGTTCATTCAACAAGACCACACAGTTCATGAATTTTCAAAGTACTTATAACTTATTGGCAAAGCCATGTAGTATCATATCTATTTTTTATAGATTTCCAGAGTAGGAAAGAAAGCTTGAAGACAAAAAGACAAAATAAACTGTTGCAAGCTTCGACATCAAAATATGTGTACAAATGTAGTTACATGTGTATGGCTGGTCTTTATTGCCATTGGTTATGTGCCAATGACTAGAAAGGATATCATTTGACCTGGTATATATACACATGTAGTACTAGTAAAGTATATGATATTGCCTATGAAGGTTAGACATCCAGGTAATGAGATACACCAAAAAGCATAAAGTACATGTATATGATGTCATGTACTAGTAATTCATAAGCACTCTCAAGTTGTAATGCATGCAATAAATGATCTTGAAATGTTATAAACTGATTTGTATTTCTGTATAGCTCAGCACAAAGGGCCAGGGAAGTACATGTCTGAAATTAAAAGATCTTGCAATTTTTGCTCCTAAAATGTTTTTAGCCACATTCCCAAAGTACATAGAAGTTTCTCACAAAACACTGGGCAGTTGTATGTAAAATGTCAGTTTATGTTGGAAGATTACAAGAATCTACACATCAAAAAGTGAGAAGGCCACTATCAAATCTATGGTAAAATGCTGTCAATCAGAGACATTTGAAAGATTTGGAGTTTGATGGAAGCATCTTGAAGCATGGTTGTTTCAACTGTTGACCTCTAGCTGGAGGGTTACCTTAAGGTTTTCTTTTTTAGTCTGTCGAGTACATAGTGAAGTCTTGAGATTACTTGTTCTTTTAGTCTGAAATCTATGCACACCACACTATACATGTACATGTACATCATGTACTTGCAAAATGACCCCAAATAGTAGTAATATTTCTCATCAATATACATTGTATAATAATAAAAAGGTTTTCCGACAAGAAGTTGAAACATTTTTACAGCAAGGAGGTTAAGTAAACATTTCATTTTTACTGACAGTGATTTGCCACTAAATAAAACTCGTAGGAAAACAATGACTTCTGGCCTGCAGTCATAAAGGGCAGAGGCTATTTGCTAGTCTGGGTAGCAATTTGCAGGGTCACCAAAACTGATCGCTACTACCATGACCAATGACCAAAGTTTCAAGACCAATGACATCCATTTTCAAACATAAAGTTTATACATCCAGAATATATCAAAACTAAAAGCATTAGGAATAGAATGTTTTCATATTTCTCAGCGAGTAGCCTAGTGTTTCCTTTCCGTCTTCTCTTTGTTTTTTTCTGACGTTAGAAATCCTAAGGCACATTATCTTCCCAGCCTGGTCACTGATAGCATCATTGGCAGTCCGTTTCCCTGTGGTCAAAATCACTGTCATTTTGGTTTCAGAGAAGATCCATTCTGTTGTTGTTTTCAGAGGTTATAATTATGCCTCAGGGCAAATCTGCAATTTTGTTCTCACTCTCTTCTCCATCCAAAGAATGCTGCGATTGGATGTGACACTACTGCATTATCACAATTACTATTGACAATTACTGCACTTAGATGATAGATGATAAATCTTTTCCTTTGGGATCGTAAACACTGTGGCTATATGCCCGCTCATACTGGTAAAAAAATAAAACGCACCAGTCCGACCAGCTGATGTATTCATACATAGAAGGTAATCAGGTATCAAATAGGTCAAAGGTCAAAATTGGTTTGAAACTAGTCTCAGTTCCTTTTGTACACACGTGCGTTGCGTTATTCATTCTTGTTGCTGTTAAACATGGACTTAACAAATAAGAAATACCCTAAGGAAGTTCTTGGTGGGCTTAATGAATTGAGGAAGCAAGCAGAGCTGACAGATGTAGTGCTGGAGCTGGAAGGAGAAAGTGGCGCAAGGTAATTTATGGGGGACTCTGGGCAGCATATTTTTATTATGCATGCAGAAAGCAGTTTCGGAAATCTTCTCAGATTTGAGTTGTTGTTTTCTCTTTCATTACTGACAGCGTTACAGCTGTAGTACAGTACTCTTCACAATGTGCCCGATGTTGTAGTTTAACTTAACTCTTTTTTTTCTTAATTTTTTTTTTAGCCTGGGTAACGTTACCATTTTTTTAGTTACCCAGGCTATAATTTACTGTAGTGGAAACTTATTGTCCGGTAACATAATCTTCATCATGCTGAAGGTGGTCGCCACAACAGGAAGAAGGACAAGTAAACGTAGACGTTTTTTTTTTCGAGACTGGATGTGGGTTACTGCTTCACTTAGCCATGTGCTAAGCTGATCCAGTTTTAGCCAGTTTCAGAGTTGTGACCCCCTCCAGGTCATTGGACTGTCCTAATGCCGTCTGAGGGTGGCAGACTTTACCATTCCTGTGTGGATAAGTAACAACTAAAAGAACAGTCTACTCTATAAAACTCTGATGTAGAAAACACAGTAGAATATTGGAACGTCATGGTATCATTTAAATTTACACGGGCCAAGAATGATGCAGCATGTATCTTCCTCCCCAGTTTCCCGTGTCACCGCGCCATCCTGGCATTGTGCAGCCCATACTTCCATCGTATGTTCACCAGCAGCTATGCGGAAGCCAAACAGGAAAGGATCTGCATCCAGAAAGTGAGTGAAGTTGCCATGGCAACAATTCTGGACTACGCCTACACCGGCTGTCTTCAGACGGAGTCAGACCAGGTCCAGGATGTGATGTCTGCAGCCAGACTTCTCCAGGTAACAATTCTGCTTCCCAGGTTTTGTTTAGCTCTTCAAGTTAGTTTTTGTACAGTCAAACAAATTGAAATATGCCTGGCAAATTTATTGGGAACATATCATTCTGAGCCTCCCTGCTGTCATGTAGTGACTACCGGTAATGTGGTATCTGAAGGCATCCTCATTTGATAACCTGGGTCCATCATGGAATTTCCTGGGCTTTGCTCGAGCCACATACATGTATTGTGGCCTGCTGTCAGGTTCAGTTTACACATGGTGGGGAATGTGCCTGGGGTCTTTGCTGAAGTAAGGCACCAGGAACAAGCCAACAATACTTAATATGTTTCCACATTATGGGTACAGACAACTTGAGTACAGACATTCCATCTGTACTGTCTGCCAGTCTCACCAGGTGCATACTTAGTACAGATAGGTTAGTGATATTGGAGACACATGCACATCAAAAATTGATATCTAGGGAGGACTAGTACTACTATAATTTTGGCAAAAGGCAACTTTCATGTTTGTGGTGTAGGTGAAAAAAAAGAGCTAGTCACTAGGGTTTGGAAATATAGATTGTTCCAAATCATCCTTTACTTACTGAAAAAGTAGATGCCTTGCCCTGAATCATCCCTACATCCACTTGCATGTACAATATATAATAAAAAGATGTACCATGGTCTGTTTTTTTACTCCTAATATCCTATAGGTTGATTTTGTATACCACAAAGCAGCAGAGTACATGAAGAACCATCTGGACATGTCCAACTGTGCTGATATATTGATGTATGCTGACATGCTGGGGGACCTAGACTTGCTGGAGACAAGTAGGAGGTACATAGCATTCAGGTCAGAGCGATGGCTGTCACAGACTAACAGTGGCTGTCTTGCATTCATTTAAGTTATTTGTTTTCTCTGCCATATTTTGGAAAATGAGCTGTGAGGATGTGCATGTAATTTAAGAATTGCTAGCATCATTTCTGCTATTGGTATAAGAATGTAGCTGACAATAAGTTGATATCAATTTTCAGACAAACTTTGGGTCTGTTATGTGTCTACATAGACAGGTACATGTAAGTACATCTGTCGGACCGAAAGAAATTTGAATTAACTAGATAAGATCTTGATGACACTTTTGACCTTTGACCAACTTTTGACCTTTTGAAATCTTGTTTACCATCAATAAGGATTATCAGAGAGGTTTGTTAATGTTGCAACAAGTGAATTATTGTAGACTACTTGGTTACAGACCAAAAGGTCCAGAATACTAGTATACTTTTTAATCATGTTCAAAATCACAAGCACTGAAAGAATCTGGCACTCAGTATAATTAGCACTAAAGTTACTACTCATTTAATTCCCTTAGGTTCAGCCAGGTGGTCCTACAACCATCGTTTCTCCAGTTGCCTCTTCCCCTGCTCCAGTCATTGCTCAACAGGGAGGATTTAAGAATCAACTCAGAAGACGACGTTGTGCAAGCTGCTCTAAGATGGATCGAATTTGACAAAGAAGTGCGCTTGCAGCACCTTCCTGCTCTGTGCAAGTCCTTCCGTCATCCCTTTGTCAGTGCCAAACTGTGTGAGGAGCTGCAGAGCAAGAGCCCGTCATCCGACTGCCAGCTGGTGTACAGTGAGAAGACAACCCAGCGTCTGGAACAAACACGAACTGAAATGCAGATTGCTGTACTAAGGGAGATATCTGTGGAATTCCCTGTTAAAACCCGTTGCTTTGACCTTGCAAGAGGCACAACATACATCATGAACATGCCTGACAACCTGGAGGGCTTCACAATGATAAGCACTGCTGAAGATGAGCTGTATCTGGCAGGTGGTGTTTACACTGGTACAGATGGTGTTGTCATGAACAGATTGAAAGCCATAAGAAACAGTCAGAAGAAGTTTTATCAATACAACCACCTGTTAGACACCTGGGAACCAAAGTGTGAGATGATGACAACGCGTTTCAGGTAACGTTAGGTATTTTTTTTACACAACCTGCTGGTTTCCTCAGCATAGATCAAAGACTGGATTCCATTTTAAAACTGGTAGAGTGTCTATCTTCATTTTCCAAAGTTAGTCTTAAAAGATTTACAGGAGGCAGCGCAGAGCTTCTTCCTTGTAATCTGACCTGTATATGATCTGCCCATGTGCATGTGATTGTTTTAAATGTGTTAACGGTTATGTATTATTTTAAACAGTTGATTGATATAGCTCAGACAAAAGAAAACCTTGGCATATTTTCTTACAAACTTTCCTTGATATCTTTTCCAGTTGCAATCTGGTCTGTCTAGATGGGTACATCTATGCCATAGGAGATGGCAGAACAAATAAGTCAGCAGAGAGGTATGACCCCAGTTGTGACAAGTGGGCCTGCATACCACCCATCCCCTATCCGATGCCCAGAACAGAGCGTCATTGCTTGTCTTCTGCATTTTGTGCTGTGGCCCTTGATGACAGCATCTACGTCATAAGTGAGAAAGGCTGCTACAGGTTCAACACCACAGAGAACACCTGGAGCAAGACGGCAGACATGCTGGAACCTCCACTGAATCCACAGGCTGTTGCGTATCAGGGGTGTATTTACTGTGTGGACACAAACGATGACACACTGACATACGTAGAAAAGTACAATCCTGAAGATGGTGCGTGGATACATTCGGACAATGCCAAGACTTTTTCCTGCACTAGTCTGGCCCTGATGCTGCATGGGGACTCTTTGTATCTCCTCACCGTGCATTTTCCAGAGGATATGCCCTACAACAGTCATGACCTCTACAAGTACCAGCCAGACACGGATTCTTGGCTGAAGCAAGAAAGTGCAGACATAATCGTGACCCCCATAAAGCAGTGGATGCAAGCCCATGTTATTGAAGATTGGTTGGTGGCAAGGATGATTCCAACATGTCTTGGTGATGTGAGTTCAGAAGTTTTGGGCCAAGGGGAAAGTGATTCTGATGATGACGAGTATGACAACTAAAGCACTTTTAATTACATGTACTTTCAAGTCCACCTAAGAGTTACTCCAACTGGTGCCACCCAGAAACTTTCTCTTGGTTGAAGCCAGAAAGTTGACACACAACTTAAGATGAAGAAAGATAAAGGGGGAGTGATGATGATGACAGTTAAACACTGGTCTGTAGGACACATTTTCAAAGTCACAAACTTGAATATTTTTAGTTAGTACACATGTTTTGTTTATGGTAACACGTCAGCAGAACGTACTGTGCCTGCGCAAAACCTACATTTTTCACGGTTTTTGTTGATTTTTGGTCAACATTGCGTCATGCGGATTGTTAACCTTGTATGCGCAAATACGACCTTATATGAGACGTTCTGCTGCCATGCACAATACTTAGTATATTACAGGGTTCACGCACGTGCAGCTTTTTCTGCTGACATGCTGTTTAAGGTATACTATGTGCTCTAATGATTATGGCAAAAATGCTGTTACTGATGGCTTGAGTTAGTTTTGATGACCACATAGGCTTGATAAAGTACAGAAGATGTCCAGAGTTACATAATGCACCAAACATTCAGATATGATTTACTTTGTGTCAGTGTCATAAACGTGTTTGTAGATAGTGTGCACAGATGTTTTCGTCACAGTTAACCTTTTGAATCAATATATTGTTATATGCACAAACATTAATATTCTGCCTTGTTGTTTATGGGAAGCTAGCATTTAGGAAAGAAGTTCAAGGACTTGCTAACCAATAAGATAAAGACTGGCCAACTTGTTAGAAATAGTGGTTAAATGATTTATGTTAACATTACATTTGCATTAAAGTGCGTTAAAAATCTCTATGTTTTGAGGTCTTGGCTGTCCAACCAGCGAGTATGTTACTATAAGTACCGTGCATGCGCGCCACCTATCGGTTTGTTCAAAAACTGCAGAATCTCGTGACGTCACGCCTTAGCACCTGTCCGTCTCTAGGGCCGCAGTCTTGAGTAAACTATCGTAGCTACTATAGTACATGGACCGCCGAGTGGTTTCATCCGAACAATGGCGATTACCAAGTAACAGAAAGCTGTTGAGCCGCTAAGGACGGCGATTGGGACTTTGGGGTGAAAGCTGTGTTAGGTTTTTCGGCGATGGAGAGCCTGCCGGAGTTTACCGAGGACATGCGGCAGCGGCCTCGGACGGTGGCGGTGGGGATACGGGACTGGGGGGAGCCGGGGCCGCCGTCCATGTTGTTCGACAGAGCCGCTCGAGGTACACAGCGTTTTTTGGTTTGATTTTTCTTTAAGTGCCAACGATCATGGTACTGATTATTTTGACATACTCATTAACATCTGGGCGAAGTGAGGAAAGTCGTGTAAAGTGCCTTTCGCAAGGGCACAAGGTTAGTGACATGGCAGGATTCGAACTCGGGACCTCTTGGTTCTGAGCCGAATGCTCTGCCCCACGACCCCACAAAGAGTGACGTATCATTAGTGGAATATCGATGTTAGCCACCCCTTAATGAGTGTTTTGTTATGGTGTGTTCTAGTGGTCGTTTGATAAACGTCGCCACGGTAAATGCCTATACAAAAGCTTTTAACAGGTGGCAACAACTCGATAATAATCACCTCACCTATCTTGTCTGGTCGATCCGTCTGCCTTTCTATCAGAGTGTTAATGCACCAAATCTTCCTTTATCTTGTACTGATGCATTTTATTTTTGTGTGAACTGGAATACAGTTGTACTACTCATCATGGAAGTTCATCTGTGTCGGATTGTAGGTAGTGCTAGGTAAAAATCATAGTACAATGCTAACTTAATTCCAAGACAGAGGGTACACAATAATGAAATCTATCCTGATCCTGACAGTGGTTGTTGAAAATTTACCCTTTAATATGTGCCCTTTGTGTAGGCATTGTGCATACATAAAACATTCTACACATTGTCTTCCTCTGTTGTTCTATCATTCCCTGAAGCTGAAAACTTTGTATTTCCAAAACTTTTATGTGTCTCCTCCTCTGCAGCCCACAGTTGTCGAGCCCCCTGGGCACAAGACCGCACCACCGTACGGGACATGGAGCTGTCCTACATCTGGTCCAGTATGTCTCTCACCAGACCCCCCTCCAGCACGTTTGGGGGACCACCCCCCACCAGGGCCACAGCAGGGGGGCGAAGGCTCTCCAGACTATCGAAACTGTCTTCGAGTAGTGTCATGAAACCAAAGTGAGTTGATTTGACTTAATTATTCTGTAAACTTGTGGGACTCAATCGGGTCTTTGATATCCTGGATTCTCAAGACAATACAGAGGATATACAAAGTCAACACACTTTTATTTTGACATGTCTATTTCATCAGTTATTCTCAGCGAACAGTACTTCTTGTAGTTTGCCTCTTTATATCTGTCTTGCAATTTATCACTGTATTGAAGATGTGGAATATATTAAATGCAGAAAGTCAATTAAAGATTATCAGAAATTAATTATCTAAGAAGTTCTCTAAAGTTTGTCATGATAATAACAAAGACTTTTATTTTGCACAGAACTCCTTCCAAGCTGCTGTATGAGTCTGATGCCACTACAACGAGCGAGGCTGGGAAAGTGTACTGGCCACGTGGCCTGGCTGTCAGCCAAGCGGGCGACATCTTCGTGGCCGACACCGCCAACCATCGCATCCAGGTCTACACCCCCTGCGCGATCCACAAGGCCAGCTTTGGGTCCTTTGGGACAGGGACCGGTCAGTTTGACCAGCCGAGTGCGGTGGCCATGTGTGGGGACCACCACATCGCTGTGGCTGATATGAAGAACAAACGCGTGCAAATAATGTCTGAAAGCGGCCGCACAAAGTGCGTGTTCCCCACCCAGTGGGAGCCCCATAGTATCGTGTGTGATCCTGACAGAAATGTCATTGTGGCGAACAGCAACAACGAAATCGAGGTCTACTTCCCTGACGGAGAACTGTACACGACTTTCAAAGTCAACGAGGGGCTGCCGTACAGGAGTTACCAGTGGCCATTATTCGTCACCCAGAACACGAGAAACGAGATCGTTGTCTCCGATCCGGTCACCCAGCTCGTCAAGTTTTATGACTACGATGGGGACTTGCAGTCGGAGTTCAGGCCGACCGTGCGACAGGGGGTCGGGGTTCGGGTCGTCCCCCGCGGGATTTTCTGCGATCGTGTTGACAACATCTTTCTGGTGGATGGACTGAACCATACCGTGAACTACTACAGCGACAACGGATGGCATCTTGAACAGATGCTGACGTCGGCCCACGAGCTGGGCACCCCGCAGGCCGTGGCCCTGACGCCGGAGAAACACCTGGTGGTGACGGAGTGCAGCGTCAACGGCAGCCACTGCGTCAAAATCTTTCGCGGGTTCTCCTGCGACTGCCACAAGTCCCGCCCAGGCTCGGTCAAGCGAAAGTCGGCCGGCATGATGCAGCCTGTTAAGAGCGCCCCCGCTGCCATGATATCCATGGGTATTTCTGCAATACGAGAATGATGTGTGGTGTAATTGAACACCAGATCGCAGGCTGTTATTGACAAAGTGAAGTCAACCGTCAACACATTGAGTGCCGTCTGAAAAGAGGCCACGTGACCAAGCTTCGCCTGATTGAATGTTACCATGTAATGAAGCTATGCAACACTGAAGTATAATACTTGCCAGCCATTGAAGCATGGAAATAAATACTAAACATGACAAAGGTAGTAAACTCAAGACTGCTGCTGTTTTTGCAGGGCCTTGTGTTAATGTGATGAACAAAGAGAACCTTGGACCCAAACTTTGTATACAAATGTGCTTCTGTTATCACACTATAGATAGTGTGTGCAATATTACTACTGTACTGAAAAGTTTTGTTCATGTTTACCACATTTAACGATAACAGTTGTAATGGGGGTCTTTGTTTAAGAACATCCCAACGTGGGATTTTTTAAAATGGAACATTATGTATATGTACAATGTATCTTGATTGATTTAAAATCTTCTATTGACAGTAGCAAAGTGATTACCAGGGACAATTTGTAACCTGGATACCAAAATTATTTGTCGAATGAGCTGCAGAGTCACTGTCGTCCTGTCCACAAATACATACTGAGAGGAAAAAGAGACCGAGTCAGCTAGAATTCCGGTTAGTTTGGTAACCAGGCTAGACAATTTGATCTTAACGTTATATGCAAATAAATAAGTCCAATTGTACAGAAGACCCAATGTAAGTGTGAAGAATGTTTTACGCACAGTTGAGATTCTATGCTTTACACCAGTGGCATGTTGTGATGCACCTTTACTTATACATGTAATTGTTGAAGTGATCTATAAAGTCCACTCAGTCTCCACTATAGTGCCAAATTAGAAACATTGTATTGTCGGTATGACTTGATGCCAAATTATGGCTTCTTAGTTGCTTGTAGAGAAATGAGTTGTTTCTGTGATCGAAGTATGACGTGGAATTATTTCTTCCTGAGAATAATTGATTCTCAAGGTATTATATCTTGAATCAGGAAAATATCACTGCATTAGCATCATTGCTGCTGTTATAAGATTAACTGTTGTATGATGTATGGTTCTATGGTGTATGATTCTGATTTAGAAATAGCTATATATATTTGACAGAGAATGACTATGACAATAATTCTAACTTTACTGCTGCTATAGTTCACAAAGTGGAAGAAAATCAAATCAGGTACAGTGTTCACACACTCAGCATTACTTCGTATGTAAGATTATGACTTTTTGCACTAAAAGTCTGTGGTATTAATTGTCACCATCTGGGGTAGTACTGGTACAGTAGTACTGCCTTTTACATTTGTATGTGTCACCATGACGTATGATATGAGGAAAATGACAATAAAATTGACTCAATCATTAAACATTACATGTTGTCGGTTTCTAATGCTTTCAGGTTATTAGCAATTGCTTGCAGCTTGTCCTTTTTAATGTGTCCAATGAATGCATGATATAACTCATAGAATATCACTTGATAGAAATTTAATCATGAATGTCAACAAATTTATATCAATTTCCTGCTCATTAGGCCACACCAATTTAATTTCTTGGTTAACGGATTTTTCTAGAAAAATAATGGAGCGGGCGGGCGAAAAAAATAAAAACAGGCCTAGGCATCCTATTATGGTCCAAAATGGTACTATAGGAGCCATGAAGTCAACACACCAGGCTGGTTCAAAATTTAAACAATGAATTTTGAACTTTTAATGACACCATTGCATTGGAAGATGGAATAACTGTAACAAATAGGATGAAAAGGACTGTTTTCAACTGTTCATTTTTATTTGCAAATTAGAAAAAAATGATGCGGGCGAATCCGTTAACCAAGAAATTAAATTGGTGTGGCCTTAGGTAAGATTTGCAAAATACATGACCTGATAATTACATGGGACAGAATTTTCAAAGCAAGAGCATTTGGTGAATTGCAAGGTGTCACGTATGAAAATATTATTCCGCATATCTTCAGCCTCGCCAAATTACAGGTAACGTTACGACAAAACTTTACTTTGTCCTTGGTGCTGAAAGACTTTTTCCTGAATACACATTCTCCAAGCAGAGGTTTGGGTTTTGGCTAATTTTTTTGGCGAAAAAAAAATATATCAGTGCAAAAAAGAATGCCCAATAAAAAGCCTTAGAAAATGCCAAAGAATAAGCCAAAACCCAAACCTCTGCTTGGAGAGTACTGAATACACACATAGGATGTGTCCCCCTGTCTCTAAGGGACTTTGGAATAGTCCACAACAAAGCCTCGCGAGATTGAGCGAGAGCGGACGCATCCTGGTTTGGGACTAACATGGCGTCGCAGTCTGGTAAGTTTGTTACATATCCAAGTTTTCATCTCTGTTACTCCCCCGTTAACCCATTTACGCTGTTCAGACAATCTGTAACCGTTACCCCAGTTATCAAGGATTAAATTGGCATAGTTTTCGGAAAAGGGACCCTAACGTGCTGCCTGAAACAGCCCTGATTTTACAGCGATGTTTGCCTTGTGTTGTGCATGGTCGCGATCCGGCATACCTCTGTTACACAGCTGTCTGCAGGCGACGAGAACTACTGTCTGAACATATCAGATATTATGCATAGATTATATTCTTCACAAGGCAGGAGAACGAGTCTATTGTGATTACTAAAAAGAAATAGCTAAAACACTTAACGTCCTCGTGACTTTCAAGAGGGAGGGAGCCACTGAGCTGAAGCTTGGTGGTGCTTCTTGCTTCACCCAGTATGACTAAATCCGGATGACACTTCGACCACCATATGCATGAATATGAGACGTTAGACATGCCGCATGGAGAACATCATGTCATCATGTGTAAAATATTCGCAACCTATTATTTGCTTAGATTTTATATTTTCAAACTTTTATGTGTATAGATTAATATGCAGCATTTACCAGTAGAAATCATGTTTTTTAGTGAGATTGTTAACAACCATAGCAAATATTTAGCAAGGATTTGAAGGAAGTACTAAGTAGTCGAGATTAGAGGCCATCATGCTACAAAGTCGCAATCAAACACTTTGAGCAGACAATTTGTGAAGCTCATGTAGAACTTACTAGCCTGGGTACCATCCGGATTTTCGCTACGCAACGCTCGAAAAAAACGTGATTTTTTCGAGCGTTGCGTAGTGAAAGTCCGGATGGTACCCAGGCTAAGAATCATTCTTCAAGTTCAAACAAATTCAGCAGTATTTTTTTTTTGTCAATAATCGTTAAAATGGAAATACATGTATGATGTAGAACTTGTCCGTGCTTAAAATGTTTGACCAAAGCTACTTCTCTAACACTACTTAAAATTTTAATTTAAATTTAACAACGTTAAAATGCAAGTTTACATTATGCTATAGTATGATATAAACTTAATACCTTATGATACCATCTTTGGGATGAGAAGGCTTGCCTGTAGCAAGGACATGTACATGTATAATGTCCTTGCCTGTAGTAATCCTGGTCACGAACGATACTCATGTGCTGTACTTCATACTCTCCCAATGCCTGTCTAACCGTGATTTGAACCCGTTGACTGTTTTAGAGTCAACCACAGACTGTTGGTGTTGTTATAAAAATTAACTAAAGCTACTTCTCTTCCGTTACCTGGTTAGAAACCTCGACGTGGATCAAGTTCTTCATGGAGGCCGGGATCCCGGCCGGACCGGCTGCGAGTTACGCCGTCACCTTCGCAGACAACCGGATCCAGAAGACCATGCTGCTGGATCTCAGCAAGGAGATCCTGAACGACATGGGGATCATGGTGGTCGGGGACGTCATAGCCATCCTCAAACACGCAAAAACTGTCGCACAGCAGGTAAGTTTTTTTTTCTTAGTGCCTTTGTTTGTTCATGGAATACTCGAAATGGCCACTTTTCATTGAGGTGATGAGGGAAGAGGTCAGGGTCAGACAAAATTTAAAAAAAAAACAAGATTGAGGTTACTTGATTGAAGTCTTACGGTGCCATACAAAATTCATAACCATAATCCGTAAATTATAATCATAGGGGTTTGTCTCACTTGTAGGGAAAGTACATGTACAGCTTCAAGCAGCAATTTGATGAAATAGTATGTGTATCTAATTTATACTGATGGTCTTTACACCAGAATTCTGGTATGTAACGTTACTAGACTTTGGCATAACGCACCTGTTCAAAACTACATTTTAGTTAGATCCTGTTGGTTGGTAAAGGGACAGCCTATACTGTCTCCCTACATGCTGTAACTGTGTAAGACTAGGTACTAGTAGTACAAAAACAAATGACAAACACAGGATTATGCAAATGCAGCAAAGTTGATTTTGCCACATGTTGATATTTAGCATCTACTCACACTGGTACAGGGTGAGATGTGGAGAGGCGCTGACTAAGTCTGAGTAAGGCACTGACTTGTTTGTTTGCCCGTTTGCTCCAGGCTCAGCCATGTTTGTTTCCTCAGGAACAGAGAGACAAGGTGCTGCAGGTGTCTGTAGGGCCGCAGGACCCCCCACGGAGAAAACCTGCCGGAACACGTAGGCTCTGCTTTTACTCTACCTTCTACTATGGTAACCTGGAACGGTTGGTAACATGTGTTCATTCAGGGAAATGGAAATCAACACAACTTTTTTACTTCTTGCTTGTGCACTTCTCCAACACCCTATGTTTCATGCTATTGTTTCTAGAACACTTGTGGTCTCACATCAGGCACCTAAATAATGTGTGTGCATTGAATGTATAGTGTACATCTCAGTGAGTGGACTAAATTTCTTTTCTATAGACATGTAAATATTATATATGTGAGTGTACACTTGTAACTGGAGTTGTACCTTTAGTTAAGATTCAGGCCATTTCTCAACTCAGTTGATGAAGGTTAGACATCCAGGTAAACAATACTCATATAGGAAATTCAAACTCAGCTACTCTGTAATTTATCCAGTCGTAGAGTTTGAATTTCCTGTGAGCATTTCTCAACTCTTATGTTGGTGTAGCTGCTCTTGTGTGTCATGTATAGTTTCCTAGCCAGTTGCCAATGCAGCACTGTCCCACTCTTACAGCGGCAAGCAGGATGGTTGGCCACTACCTCAGGGATTCTCCCAGCAACTCCCCCTATAGGATGTCCCTAGATGGTGGTATCACAAGTAAGCCCTGAAGCTCCCAGTTATGTCACTAACAGTTACAGAAGATACTGTGTGCCTTTGCAGTGTGTGTGTTTCACTAAATTGCTGTCGTCTAGATTATTTTCCCAAATACAGTATCTTGACAATGCAGAATTTGTGTGTGTTCTCTTCTGTCATTTTGCACATAAAAATGTCTGTTTTTCATGTGTTGTAGAATGAGTAATTGGGAGTCATGCCCTTTAGATCTACTTGTAGGTAACTGATTTTGATCAGGAAAGACCTGCTGATATGCAGGTTTGTTACCCAGATCCTATCCCCTAGGGTCATAGATTTGGGCATGTTTTGACAAAAATTGTCATTAGAATGCTCACATCTAAGAAAATGACCTGTACTCAGTCTAATATGTTGACCACTATAAAATGAGACAGCCAGGGGTCTCTCCAGAAGTTCTGAAGAGCTCCCTGATCGGTTGATGAAAAATCAGGCAATTTGCATGAAAATACTAAGAGAAACCCTGAACTTGAACATGTTGTGACACTCACAGGTATTAAGATTTTGGGGAGAGTGGGAGCAACCTTGCATCATTGCTTGGGGAGAGCCCTGTGTGACAGCTTACTGTATGTGACCCCAACTCTATTGTCTCCCGCTGCAGGTATGAAGAGAACGATTGTGACAGACCTGGAGGAGGAGGAGGTGGTGGGAGGGATGAAGAAGCCCCGCCGCGTGGCTATGCCGGAGGACGGGGCACAGACCATCATCGTCCGCATGCCGGACAAGATGCCAGCTGGTGAGTATTGCACTCTGCAGGAAATAATAGTAAATTTTACAGCTCTTGGGCCACACCAATTTAATTTCTTGGTTAACGGATTCGCCGCTTCATTTTTTTCTGATTTGCAAATAAAAATAAAAATTCAGAATCAACTGCAAAATGCTCAAATTTTGCCCTGAAGAGTTGAAAACAGTCCTTTTCTTACTACTTGTTACAGTCATTCCATCTTTCAATGCAGTAGTATCATTAAAAGTTCAAAATTCATTGTTTAAATTTTGAACCAGCCTGGTGTGTTGACTTTATGGCTCCTATCATACCATTTTGGGTCATTAGGCCACACCAAGTAAATTTTATGGATGACGTCCTTTGGAGACCCTAAATCTAATGCGAGAGGGCGAAAAAAAAACAAGAAGGGCCCTAAAAAACAAGATGCCTAGATTAGAAATATACTAAGAGACGACAAATGTTAGGACACAAATTGAATGAGGTGACACAGTGTAACAAGCAAGACGTCTTTTATTCATCATCAAAACAGCAATAAATCAGGTGGAACAGCAGTTGTCGTCTTTTGCTTTGGGGAGATAGATGGAGCGGTCAGCAAGTTTCTTCACATGTGGCAGCATGTACCAAACTAAATTCCTAATGGAAGTCATGATTTCCTTGCTTGATGCTTCATAAATTAAGCTTTGGTCCGTACAAACCTATTTGCGGCACTGTCGTGACTCTTTCGTCATAGTTGACCATAGTTACAGGAAGCGGAATTTCTTGTTTTTTTTTCTAGGAACAGGCCAAAATCAATGCGCGCGCGGACGTCATCCATAAAATTTACTTGGTGTGGCCTTATAGGATGCCTAGGCCTGTTTTTATTTTTTTCGCCTGCCCGCTCCATTATTTTTCTACAAAAATCCGTTAACCAAGAAATTAAATTGGTGTGGCCTTGGTGGCAAATGTGCAGATGCTGGCACATCAACGCACCAAATCCATAGTGTATTTTTGACAGGCTAGCCAAAGAGGCTTGCCAAATAAAGTTGATGGGCATCACTCCATCGTACAGGAAGGGAAGTCGTGTACAGTGCCTTTCCCAAGGGCACAACGTCGGGGCATGGATAGTATCGAACCTTGGACACATTGGTTCCGAGTCCAACGCTCTAATCATTGCGACACGGACGCCTGTAGGGAGTAGCCAGGTTTTAGCACTGACAACAAGCCATACTTATTCCAATAATTATTCATGATGGCTGTTGTACTAAGCCTAATGAACCTGGTCTAAAAGGATTGTGAGATGGAGTTACTGTGGGAGGTCAGTTACATATTACACGTACCACACAGGTCCTGAAACAGAACAGTAAGGTTGAGGGAGGCAGTACATTTATCTACAAGATAGTTTTCCTGTAAAAGATAGTAGAATGAGTTGGTCCTATAACAAGGTGGAGAAGAGATTGTTGTCAATTTCTTCAATTGACTTTAATGAATATATTATCCAGTGTACTTGTGGCACTGACAAAAGAAACTTGCTTTCCACGAGGTTCATCATTTGATTTTTCTCTTATGTTTATCAGGCAAGAAGGGGTCATCTGTGTTTGACAGACTAGGAGGGGACGGTTCAGGAGACGCTTCAAAACCAAAGGTAAGACAAAGAGACTGTAACATTTCAGAGACAGCGTTTATTTCACAGAGATCGTACGGGTATCTCAGTTCACAAGTCTGCTAACTTTTAACTATTAAGACTAATGTTGTAGCACCAATGGCTCAAGCCAGATTACCCTTTTGGATAGGTAAAACCAAGCTTGAATGCATTCACTGTATAGCTTTTTATGAGTCACTGTCTGTCTGTACTCATGTGTTTTTACTTGTTTATTTGAATTTACCACAAGTGTGGAAGGGAGGACAAAACAGGTGCATTGACACCTTTATACGTTGTCCTCCCAAAACATTACAATATACATATAGATTGCAATATTAAATACAAAACAGATTACAATATTGAACATTATTAACATGAAATACAAATTACTGTTGTACCTTCCCAGGCCACAGGAGTGTTCAGTCGCCTGGGCAGCCAGTCAGAAGCAGAACCAGCACTAGAATACCAGGGTGTCCTGAAGCAAAGCCCCAGTGCTGTCAAGGCTCTTGCTGCTGCTCCCTCGGCTCCTGCAACGGGCAAGAAAAGTGTCCACGACAGACTCGGGCCGCAGACCGCCGAGAAGGGCATCAGGAAAAGACTGGGTCCTGAAAAGGTGGACTCCACAACGGGCACTGCTAAACCCAGCGTGTTGGCCCGTCTCGGGCAGAAGAGAACTGAGAAAGCAACAACAAATGTGAAGAAAATGGAGGCTTCGTCCAGTGACTCTGTATCTGACGACGTTTCCGCCAAACTGTCAGCCGTGAGGAAAACCTCGGGCGTGAAGAAGGCTGTTACGTCTCCAGGGAAGAAAGGGAAGGGGTCGGTCTCTGTGGCAAAAGTCAGCAGCTCAGGGATATTTAGTTACGAAGACTCAGGAGAAGACGTAGGGAAGAAGGCTATCGGGGGCGGGAGTGTGTTTGCGAGATTGGGGAAGATCTGAGAACTGTGGGACAAACCCACAAGACTATTTTGTACATCCTGGCTGGATAACAAGAAATAGATCAGTTTAGTTTGGAGTTTTTATGTACATATCAAATTCTTACCCTTTCTGTATGTATGTATGTATATGCTTGTACAAGACTTTGGTATTAGAAGGCTTGTCAGATAGGAATTGTTAGAATGATTGACTGCAAGCCTAGTATGAATGTAGGCTTAGACTGTGAGACAACCAGAATGTGATGGACCACTAAATTGTGTGCAGAACATTGTTTTGTGTTTTTTTTACATTTTAGAAAATTTAGAGCGTGTTGGTGATTTTGTGTGTAGCTACAAAGAAAATGTAGCATTCACTTCATTTGTTTTTAAAGAATTTTTCATGTTACTGTCCACTGGTTTACAACAGATTTTATTCACAAACACTGCAAAGATCTCAAGATGTAAAGTGTCAAGTAAGGAGGCCACATTCTTCCTACTTTAAGAATATACAGTACCGTACCTGGTCATGTTTTATAAGGAACAGCTGAACACCATCTGCTGCATTGAACTATGATCTTGGAAAATCATGAAGATATTTTGTTTTTAAGGTTTCAAAATATCAGTAGATTATATGGGTACATTTAATCGAAGAGAACACATTGAACTTTCTTATCTGACATGGCCTATGACCTACACTTTTTCGGTGTAAAAAGAGAAATACAGTTGACTTTGTTTCCAGTTGGCCTTTTCGCAAAAAACTCCTACTTTTGGGTCAGTTGCTGAAACTTTTCATTCACTAAAAAGTATTCTGTTCATGTGTTGGTTAAAATTCTTTGTTGAAGTTGTCAACTTTGATGTAATATTACTTTATCACCACTGCCAAGTAAGTTAAGGCATGCCAAGGCAATACCTGTAGTGTTTTGTAAGATCATACTGCCAAAAATTGTGTTGATAAAAACAAGCCCTTTTTGTTACAGAAATCACAAAAAAAAAAATCAGTGTCTACCTAAAAATTAGAAAAATCTTGCCAGAATCATGTTTTTATGTTGAGTGACTTTTGTAGAAACATTTTGAGTCAAAATATAAAATCCACTGGCTTCCACATGGTTTCGTCTTGCCTGATATCAAGACTTGCCAATGAGAATTCCATACCGGTAGATACAGTACACATAATATACCGATATCTCTCAAAAACATTCATTGTAAATGTATAGTGGGGTACCTGAGTAAAGAAAAGCCAAACAAAACACACAAAAAAGCTTGCACACATCAATGCTCACTTAACATTTTTAATGATATAAGTGTCACTGTTATGACCACTTAAAATGACAAAAGTTTAGGACAATGGAACATTTTTGTATGTACTGAAATGCTCCTCTGAACACAAATGGCATACTGTCAGTGCTCCAAAGCACCGAGTTTTAGAATTTGACAAACATCTCAGATTGACACTTAGTTTCGAAGTAAAAATTATGTTTAATACTAACCTATTTTACATATGTCTTAGACTCTCTATATATCTGTCAAGTGCTTATAGCCTTATTTTGATCCCAAACCTATTTTTGCTGCCTACGTAGATGACAAAAGAGACTCGGCAGCTAAAAATAGGTTTGCTAACCAGGCTTAAGTTCTCGGCCATTCAGCAAATCATTGTGCAGTAGTAGACTTTTCATATCTCATCAATGCTGTGCCTTAATTCTGGCACTTCTCCTCCTCGACCCTGAGGCTTCCTCTGGTTTCTGTTCCTCCTGATCAGTCTCCATCTTCTCCTCCTTCACCGGTTGGTCCACCTCCATCTGTTCTGCTTGGGGGGGCTTGGGAGAAGCTGGAGTTTGATCAGGTTCCTGCTTGACCTGGGCCGGCTCTGGCTTGACCTGGGCCGGTTCTTGCTTCACCTGGACGGGCTGTTTCGCCTCAGGTTTTGCTGCATCAGCCGAGGAGGCAGCAGGTGTGGCAGCAGCTGGTTTAGCAGCTGACTGCGCAGCTGGCTTTGCTGCAGCTGGGGCAGGTGAAGGGACTGGTTTTGAAGCACCTGCTGAGGAATAAACACAAGTTTAATTTAAGTTGCTGTCGGCATGGTGGCCTTGCAAAGGTGTACTTAGGTCCACCTGTTCCACCATGCCTTCCATGTACATGTGTATGTGGTGAATTGTAATAAATTAGTTGTACAAATGTATCTGATAAAGACTCAACAATAATCTTGGTTTCCAATTGCACAAGTCATTCTTTTTTTGATGGAACCAGGAGGACTATCATATTTTCTGTTTAAGTAACAGCTTGGTGTAGGGAAAGAAATTATTTTACCCAGGGGGTTATAGAGTCCAATCTACAACACTAAAGCACATACATGTACCTGTAGTTAGACATCCAGGTAATGAGATACACAAGAAAATTGTTACTCAAGCAAATGGATGGATTTTGAATGATCTTTCCAGTACATTGTAGTTGCTTTAATAACAATTTTCTTGTGACATACCTTCCTTCCTGTTTACCTTTTACTTTGTGGGGATGAAGGGGAGAAAAAAACTAATTCTCACCTGTTGGTTTGGGCTGTGCAGATGGTGCTGCAGGTTTGGGTTTCTGCTGGGCCGCGGCCGGAGCCTGTTTGACCAGCGGGGCCCCGGGAGGCTTGGAGGCAGCCTGGGATCTCCCTCCTGCCACTGCCGGCCTGCTCATGCCAGCTGGGGAGACATGGCAACAACAGTCATGCATGCGAAATACTAGTACAATGAAAGTGCCAGAGATACTATATATTACACTGATGAGCTGTTGCTAACATTACTAGTACCTATGCTCAACCAGTCCATACAACAACTCTGGTTGGCCCACAATCTCCAAAGCAGCTGAATTAAAGAAAATGCACTCTATTGATGTTATCCTGCACTCTATTATTCTGTGACAGTAACCTAGTATTACTTGACTATGAAGGACTACCATCATGAGCCTTTTACCATATACATGGGCCAATCATCTAGCCAACCATCCCATTTGTCTGGTGCAACCACTCCCTCACTAACCATTTTTCCTCAGTTCCTTCAGTGGTTGCTGAGACCATGTTTGATGGTACAGTACACATTGTGCACATTGTAGTCACATTTTCCGAGGCATCACTGTTGTATGGACTTTTAAGTGAACCTAGATCAAGTGTGAACACTTTCCAACCAACTCACATTGTCTAGGAGCAGACGAAGCTGTGGAGGCGGGGGGTCTGACAGGGGTTCCCGTGGGCGTTCCTGTTCTGTTGGGGGTCCCTGTGGGGGTTCCTGTCCTGCCGGACACACTGGTTGGAGGTGTCCGTACCCCCCCAATGACCGTGGAGATAGCCATCCCCTGGAAGGCCGGCGGAGGTGTGGCCTTGGCAGCAGGAGGAGGAGGAGTGGACTTTGCGGCCTCTGGTGGTTTTGGGGCTGCTGGGGTTGCAGCTGGCTTTGGTGGTGGCGGCTTCTGGATCTCCGGGGGTTTCGGGGCTGCCTGCTGTTCTGCTGCAGCTTTCTGGGCTGCTGCTTCCTTCTGTTTCTGTTGTTCTGCAGCTGCCTTCTCCTGCAGTGAAAAACAAATTCATTCATCATTTTTTTAGACATCTTTTTTTTTCCATCATTGCAAATACTTGAGAGGTCAATCCTGATGTACATGTAAGCATCTTACTTAATAAGAAGCATTTTCTAGGCAAATCCACTAAGGTACATGAGGGCCAGCAAGGCTTCTGGTGAGGTTGCAAAGAGGCAGTGGCTGCACTATACAAGCTGCACTACCCTCTTTAAAGTTTAATAAAAATTTGTGAAAAACTACACACTCAGTTAAAGTCCAGCAGACTGTCCTCTAACCTATATCTGTATAGGCAGTATAACTGCCCTTTGGTGTAACACACCAGCTTTACTGGCACACTATACTGAAGAACCTGTCACACCTAACATACATCCAACTGCAAGCATTGTTTATCTATTGTATTTGATAGCAACAAGTTCTGGTCTACAATGATATTATAGTTCTAGGAAAACATTTTTGAACCTGGTTTGCCTTCTCCTGTGCGGCCTTGTCTGCCTGTGCCTGTGCTTTAGCCTGAGCCATCTTCAGCTCCTCAGCTGATGGCTCTAAGCACTGCCCTTTTCAATAAGAACTAATGTAATGGGACAAGTTAGCAAAAGTCTAGTGAAATGTCCTCTAACTGACCTTCTCCTGTGCAGCCTTGTCTGCCTGCGCCTGTGCTTTAGCCTGGGCCACCTTCAGCTCTTCCTGAGCTGTATATACACTGTAGTCTTTCATAAAACTTTATGAAAAATAACATAGCAAAGGTCTAACTGACCTGGTTTGCCTTCTCCTGTGCGGCCTTGTCTGCCTGAGCCTGTGCTTTAGCCTGGGCGACCTTCAGCTCCTCCGCGGACGGCTCTGCCTCCAGCACGACCATGACGGCGCGGGGGATGTGCGCCCGCTGGTGCGGCGTGAAGCTGCCGATCTGCTCCAGGAGCGGCGCCCGCAGGTCCGGGCACTTCTCGAACACGTTCTTCAGCTGCGGCGGCGGCAGCTGCAGCAGCACCTGGAACGACTGCGGCTTGGTGCGCTGGCAGCACTTGATGAAACCCTCCCAGACCTTCGGCTGCTTCCACACCTTAGGGAAGTAAATGATAAAATGAATGATGAATTTTTCATGGTGGACATTTTGATGAATTCCAGGGTTTTGCAGAGCAGCAAATGCATAATGTTTACCTTCACATAATCTAGCCAAACAAAGTACTTCTCTGCTTATCCTTATGCAAACAGAGTCATATATAAGAATATGACCAGCCACTCCAACTCTGTCCTGCCACTTGCTACATAATGTAACCCAACACCACAGGGCATCTGCTACATCACGAGTTACAGTGGTGACTACTGTCAAGTCAAAGTCATTGACCTTATTTCTTTGGAACAGAAGAAATAGAGAAAGACAAAACAGAACGAAAACAGTTGTATGTTTTCCTTCTGCAAAGGTAAAAATAATGGTAGGAGACAGCACGTTGGCAGAACTTACTGCACCTGCGCAAAACCCGTAATGTATTGTACATAGCATTTTGGCAGAATGTCTCATAAGGTTGTATTCGCTCATATAAGGTTAGCATTTCGACAGTAGTTTCCAAATCTTATGCCGGAAAGAATATCCTCTGCAACAGGCAAAATCCTGATGCAACGTTGACCAAAAACCCAACGAAAAACGCGAAAATACGGGGTTTTGCGCAGGCGCAGTACGTTCTGCCGACGTGCTGTAGGAGACCCACCTGCTTGATGATGAGCCTCTGCAGGATATTCATGACGAAGCCCAGCAGTCGGGGGTACATGCTGAGGGACTGGATGACTGTTCTCATCAGCAGGGTGGGCAGCGGGTTCTGCTCCATCAGCTGCTGCATCACCACGGCCAGCACCTCCGACGTGTACACCTGCTTCTCAGCAAAACACAGGCCCGTCGCTGGGGAGAGACATTTCATTTTATTTATTATGTTTACCGAAGGAAAACATATTGTTTTTACTCAGTTTCTTCTTCTTCTTCTCCAAACAGTGACCTCTGACCAGGTCACCTGACCAATGACATGATTTCTTTACGTCTGTCACTATAGTGACTGGTGTTGGGTTACATAATGTTGCAATTTCATGGTCTGCTCTGCTCCTGTCACCATATACTTGTAGTACATGTATGTGAATGTGTTTGAGTAAGAATTAACAGAGCAGACCATGTCCGAAGGTAAACATTATGCATTTGATTTGCAAATGTTATTTCTCTAGTTGATATTGCAACAGTGCAATACACATGGGACACAGGCAGCGGTTGCTGGTGTTGTGTCCCACACATGGAAACAAATACATGTACTGGACAGACAATACTCATTTTCACTTGAGTCTAGTGGGAAAGTCGTGTAAAGTGCCTTTCCCAAGGCAAAAGAGACTTAGGAGTGAAAATAGTTTTGGTAACCAGGCTGGGTCCAGAACATTCAAAGTACTACATCAGCTTATCGTGACTACATACAGTATCTCATATAGCCCCTGTTGGGGCACTTTAGGGGGGGGGAGGCCTTGGTCTAAGGCGGGCAGGCCTCGAGCCTGGCCCGGAAGGACTCAACGGTGGGAGCCATGGTTACCGGGCCAGGCAAGGCGTTCCATTGTGGAATTGTGCGGGGAAAGAGGGAGTATTCATAGGTGTCTGTACGTGCGTGTATGGGTTGGTATTTATACTGATGACTCCGTCGGGTACGCCCGAGCTGGCCTGAGCAGTTTATCTGTAGGGATTATAATATTTTTATGCACTATTTTGTAAAAAGTTGTGAGGCGGGCTTTCCTCCTCCTTTCGGAGAGAAGGGCCACTGAAGTCTAGGTAAGCACAAGGTGGTTGCTGAGGAATAAAGTAGGCTATCTGTTACAATCATTCAACATGGCAAAATGAAAATGTACCTTTGTCTCTTCAAGCTTTTCCTTGCTATACATTTGTAAGCCCATGCACACACTATATCCATATTGCAGAAAGCATCCTTCAGTTATTCTTCAGTTTCATAATGGTATACAACACTTGAGTATAGTTATAGAGTTCAAGCTTGTTTCAACACATAAACATCAAACCAAAAGTTTATGGTGAGTTATTTCTTTGTGTTGGAAAATGCTTGAACTCTGGATAGCTATGGACTCTACCAAGTAACACAGATGAGTTTTCATTCGAACACTTGGCTATCAATGTATCCATACATTAACATTGTGAAGCCCTTTATTTTCATGTATGTGTACATGTATCTGGTCCCTCTGGGCAGTGCAAGACTTACCCTTGATGATAGATTTCATGTCACACTTGGCCGTGTCGACGTTGTGTAGCGCCACCAGTAACTCCCCAGGGGTGAGGGGACTCTGGCCGGCATTACCATCACCGGCTGTGGAAACACATCAAACAGATCAACAAACTCCAACATGTGGACAGCTCAGTCTATATCTGAGAGTAAAAAGAAATTTTCTTTTTCTCTGCAGTCTATGTAAGCACAAGGTGGATGCTGAGGAAGAAAGTAGGCTATCTGTTACAGTTAACATGGCAAAATGAACATGACCCTTGGTTTGTCAAGCCTTTTCTTGCTTTAAGTCTATGCAAACACCATATTGATGTTGCAAAAGGCATCCTCCAGTTAACGCTGCCAACTATAGCAAGTCTGTCTGGAGTTGAATGGCTGAGTGGCTAGGCTAGTGGATAGAAGATTGAGAAGTTTAATTCCTGGAATTCCTGGCTAGATGTTATGTCCTAGGAAAGGCACTTAACATGACTTTCCTGACTCCACCCAGGTGTAAAATGGGTTTATTTGTTTGTTTATTGAAAACCAAAACCCATCGCAGCCTCACATCTGAATTGTGAGGTCTGTACACAAGTAGCGTACACGTTACAATTGTTAGACTATCTTATCATATTTTTCGAAAAATACGTTAAATTAGAATTATTACTTACAACATTCTAACTTCAAATACTAAAATTCGCAGTATATGTACATTTCAAAAACATTTTTCATCGTTCATAATCTTTAAAATAGATATATTCTGTAGCTGCGACATTTAAGCGAGTTAAAAACAAATCTGAAAGAATGGCATTAATAAAACACATTCATTCGGATACAATAGTCTATACTTGAAATGGGCACGAAATAACAGATTATTACAAAGTCTCATTGTACAGTCTGACAGCGGTGTACAAAAATGATTTTCTGAGCCGCTTTGGTTGGAGAGGTAAAAGATGGTGGCAGGAGAGGGATGGGCTCTGCCTTAGAATACTGTGCCATAGACACGGTGGATTAACAACCTACTACTCTCAAATACCAGTAGCCTCAGAAGGCTATTTGGGTACCTTTACCTTTTTAGCAAGAATGCAGGTTTACGATAAACAATGGACTGTTCATATCCACTTCAAATCTCTTATGCAACTGGTACGTTGTGACATAGAATGATCCAGTAAGTAAATATCACATTGAGAAGTAAACTCAAGGTTTTCATTGCTTTGATTGATAATTCTTACCATGTTGTGTTCCCAGCAGCCTGTTGAAGACTTCCTTCACCACAATAGGATTGAGCTTGATCAGCTTGGGCAGTGCAGCCACTACCTCTTTCTAAAACACAAAGGGAAATATGAATGATCGCAAGTGATGTCTAACTAACTGAATAAAACTTCTAAACACGAACTATGCGGCTCCAGATGTCTTACTGAGGGATGACTGCAGTGTGATAGACGTTGCTTAGCTTGAGGAATGAATCCAGTCTTCTTTATATCATAAGTGATGTCTGTTATGTACGAAATAAAAGACATGATAGACACCAATAAAGGCAATGTTTTGTGACTCAGCAGGTTGATACACCAGGAGTATTAGATATCAATCTATCTTGGATATGTGTAAGGCTACACAGTACCTTTTCCAGTCCGTTGAGTACAGGAATGAGGAATCGGACATCAGGAACCCTCTTGTGGTACAAGTCACGCACTCTTCTCACCAACTCAGGGGAGGGGGGAGCTGAGGAGGGTGAAAGCAAATTGACTAGTTTTAGATACTGGAATTTCTTACAAACACATCAATAGGAAAGACAAGAAACCATGTTCCCACACTTTACACAGTTACATCAGAAACTCTCTTGTGGTGCAGGTAACACACTCTTCTCACCACCTCAGGAGAGAAGGGAAAAACAGTTTTAGGTACTGCAGATTCTTACACTGTGACGGATAACCTAGCATCTGTGGAATTATCCTGAAAATCAGTAAAGTTGGTGGCCAAGGACAGACCCAGATGGAAGTGAGAAGTCATAGAATTATGGTTCCACATATTTCTGCAAAATTTTGGTCTGAGCTTTTGACCTGGTATCACTACTAACTAACTTGTTTCAGACATGCAGCACAGCTAAGGAAGATACGACCAGCTAAACAAACAACATTTGTTTGTTTTCTCAACTCACAAGTGAAGACATGTCTGAGTTGCTTATTTTGGTGAAGAGAGATCATGGACCTTACTCATTGCCCTTACCTTACACATGCATGAAGTGATAGGATCCTGTGTGATACCTTACACATGCCTGAAGTGATAGGATCCTGTGTGATTGAGTCATACAGCTGAAGAAGAGAACCTTACCCTTATCAGTGAGCACATGTAACATCCTGGTGACCAGAGTCTCCGCTCCACGAGGACAGTTCTCCACCAACAGGAGCAGCTCTGGGGACGCCATGCCCATGCCTTTTACCTGGGTACGGTCACAGTCATCAACATTAGCACAAATCATATTCATTACATTGCTGCTCAAAGAAAAGGTTGTGAATAAGGCTTCACACCCGTGTAGAAAAGAACAGCAGACTGAGTGATACGGAAGTTGAGCTCTGCTGACAGTAATAGGGAAGCTGCAAGAAAATAGGTTTGTAGTAGGAAAACTATATATAAAACATTTACACTCAATATTCTTCCATGGTACTGATAGACAAACATGGAAGAAATGTGCAGCTGCATTTGAAACTTTATCTTTTTTACCTCCATGTTATTACATAATATTATGGTATACATTTGGAGAAAATAGCTGGTTAACCAATGATAGAAAAACTCACCGGGCTTTCCAAAACTCTCAGCACAACACGCTTGATGTTGGCCGAGGCTGCTACGTACACAGAGGCGAGTCTGGTAGGGAAGGAAATACAGTTTTACAATACATACTTAAGTGTGGACTCCAGAACACTAAAACTAACACGACCACACATGCATGTAGTAATCAACAGGTTTTCCGGACTGATATTCTGTAAGTGTCACCAGTACAGCAACGTATTAAAGCTTTAAAGGTCTAGAAATAACTTATTCCTCTTAGCCATTATACATATAAATGCTTAAAACTTGATACTTGATACTTTTAACTAACAACAGTTCTTATCAGGCCACTGAAACACAAGTGCTAACACAATCCTTGGCATTCTCTCCACACTTCTGGTGTAGTACAACAGTTCAACATATGTACTGTAACTAACAGACCAGTCAAAGTGACAGAATGCCTACTTACTCGTGGATGAGTTTATGGTTGAGAGGCAGCAGGGCCAGGTACAGATGGAGACACAGTTTGATCAGGTCCTCCGTCCACTCAGCTTCTGTTAATAGCAGAATAATAAAACACAAAAGCAAGAATAGTCAAGTTCCAGTACAGGGAACATGAGTTTGACAATGTTCTACAAGATATTTCTACAAATTTCACAGAGGCAAAAGGAATTCCAGCGACACGGGAAGTCGCCCTTGTGGAGACAGCTGAGAAATAAAGTGAAGACTGTGGTCCAGCAGGCCAAAAGTTGGCATTACAGAAACTGCATTCAGCAGTTAAAACGGGAAAACCCACGAAAATGGTGGGCATGTATAAACCGGGAGCTCGGCCGATCGCAGGAGAAGCCGAGACGCTCTGACATGGATGGGACTCCAGCGGGACAGGTGGCAGAGACGATCAGCCAGTTCTTCTCTGAGGCATGGTGTCAAAGTGATCCACTCCACATGTTCCCTCTACCACTCGGTGACCCTGGTCCTGAACTGTGCTCAATTGGGGAGACCAAGTGCCTTCTGAAGTCTGTCAAACCCCAGAAGGCAAGCGGGCCAGATGATGTACCAAACTGGATTCTTTCAGAGTTTGCAGACGACCTTGCCCCGATTGTGACCCACCTATTCAACGCCTGGTACGAAGAAGGAACAGTACCTATAGACTGGAAATCAGCAAACGTGGTCCCGGTGCCCAAATTTGCCGGCGCATCTAAAGCCCAGGACATGAGGCCTGTGTCCCTGCTCTCAGTCTTAGCAAAGCTTCTGGAGAGGAGCATCTTGAAAAGGCTACTACCTTCCATCCAGGCTGTCATCAAGGACCAATACGCGTACGTAAAGGGTTCCTCTACAACCCTGGCTCTGGTTCGGATGGTGCAAACGTGGTTAACTGCGGTAGATTCAAACAAGCCAACCTTGGTCAGAGCGATCTTCGCTGACATGAGTAAGGCGTTTGATCGTGTGGATCATGCTCGGCTTCTACAGCGCGTTATTGACATCCACACTAGCCCTCGCATGCAGAGGTGGATCGTCAGCTACCTCCAGAACCGCCGGCAGAGGGTCGTCATCGACGGCGAGACTAGTTCATGGCGCACCCTAACGTCGGGGGTGCCACAGGGAGGCGTTCTTTCCCCCTACCTGTTCATTCTCTTCATGAGCACGCGCACCACGGTACACATTGACACAATGAACGTTGGGTATGCCGATGACGTCACACTGTCAAGGACTCTCTCCGTAGCCTTAGCTGATCAGGACAAAACTGTAGAGGACGAGTCTTCTCACCTCAACTCCTGGGCAGAGGACAACAAGATGACACTGAACGGTGGGAAGAGCCTCCTTCTCCAGATCTGCTTCAGTCGATCTGTCCCAATCCCACCCACGATCACTCTTGGAGGTCAACCAGTGCCATATGTCGACTGTGCTAAGGGACTGGGTTTCCTCATAGACAAGGACCTAACCTTCAATGAACAGGTTAACTCCATGATCAGTAACGCTTCGCGCAGACTACACTACTTGCGCCTACTAACGAAACAAGGCACCAGCGTTACCGACCTAATCCAGATTTATCTGGCGCTAGTCCGGCCAGTGCTCGAATACGGACATGTGTTACTGGTCGGGTGTAGTAAGGAGCAAGAACTGGCCATCGAAAGGGTCCAGCGCCGGGCCTTGCGTATCATTTCCTTGGGAGGAAGGCGTAGCGTGCCTGACCTGCCCACACTGAAGTCGAGGAGGGAAGATGCGGCAGTACACCTGCTCCAACGCATGCTTCAGGAGAACCACCCTCTACATGACCTAGTACCGCCCTCAAGGTCTGGTGCCACGGGACGGACACTTAGAAACTCTAGCACTATCAGTGTACCAAGGGCCCGGACTGAGAGACTAAGAAATTCTTTCCTCCATTGCGCAATCCGTCTTTACAACAAGACAATTAGCACTGAGTAATTGGACATCTGGTAATCGCGCCATGTATAGCATATGTTAACTGTGACATGTTATTTGTGATGTTTTTAATATTGAGATTTTACCTATGTGATGATTCGTTTTAAAATGTAAATGTGTTTAATGTCACTGGTGTAACAAGGACGTAATTCGGGTGTGTTGCCCGCGAGTTCCTTAATGAATAAAGATTGAGATTGAGATAGCAAACTCATAGAAATAACCACCTCTACATAAAGTCCACCTGGCCATTGATGTACAGTCAAATCTGTACTAGTGACCACCTCTACTAAGGACTACCTGGCCAATCTGACCACTTTCGGTGGCCTCTTAATTTTGCCCACTGACACAGGCATTAAGAATCCCGTCTACATGTATAGTGACAACCTGTCCACATACACCAGATTTTTTCAGGCCCCTGAGTGGTTTTTACTGTACACAGGATATTGGTGTTGTGTTTACTTATGTTCATTTTTTATGTAACTTCATAGATATTCCTGAATGCATGTCACAGAGAGTATGTGTGTTGACATGTTCATTTTTCTTCATCTAATACTTGTCAGCTTATTCCTGAATTTGTGTCATACAGAGTCTGAATAGTCACACAAGTCTGTATCCCCTACCTGCAGCTGGTTTGCCGATCACCAGTCGTGGGGGCGGGGCCTTGTTCACCAGACACTTCAGACAGGTCAGGGCAAAGGACTGCGGGGGAAGGGTAAAGATCAAGGCACAGGCACAGAAATAAATGTGTGCTTCTCGATCACTTAAAGACAACTAAAACTCTTTCTTTTCTTAGACCCCTTGTACCCCTTTGGACATCCCTTCAACAAGCTTTTATATAAATTGAATAGGAATTTTTAATGAATGATGATTGTCGATTTGTAACATAATTTACATGTACGTGTTTCAATGCACTGGTGCACAAGACAAGAAGTAACGTTCAACTGACCTCAATGGCCTCCTGTAGCTTTGGTTTTGTGTGAAGCAGCTTCACAAAGCGGATACTGTTGGAGCGTACCTGCAGGGTACAGACAAATCCATCCAGTCACGATTTCAATAAAGTAAAACACAGACTCTCTGAGGATATATACATACACGTACAACAAATAAAAAGAAGAGCATGTGCAAGTTTAAACATAAAGACATTTCCAGGTGTGCTTGATAGTGGTATTATAAATAAACCATACTTATTAGAGACTCACTGTATAATATATATGGACCATTATAGTTTTGCAAATAGCATAGCATTACCACTGATGGCCAAAAGAAATGTAAAAAGACTTCATACACAGTTCGTAAATGACAAGACCAATAGCTACAGTTGCATCACCCAGTGCACACCCATATAAAACCAAGTTTGATAAAACCATAACACCTGGTAGTTCCTGTGACCTACAGGGTTAAAGGTGAGAGGTTACTGACCTCTAAAGGTGAGAGGTTACTGACCTCTAGTTTCTCACTCAGAGTGAGGTCGAGCAGGACCTGTAGGGTTAGGGTTAAAGATGAAAGGTGAGGGGTTACTGACCTCTAGTTTCTTGCTCTGTGTGAGGTCGAGCAGGACCTGTAGGGTTAGGGTTAAAGGTGAAAGGTGAGGGGTTACTGACCTCTAGTTTCTCGCTCTGTGTGAGGTCGAGCAGGACCTGTAGGAACAGGAGCTGCTGGGACGGGCGGCTGATGATCAGGTCACGCAGGGTTGACATGCCGATGTACACATGGTTCTGCAACACACAGACAGGTTTGTCTTATAAACTTATAGTGTCCAGGGGTATGCCCGCCATTTCCTGCATTTTGATGGGCAAATTTTGCCCCACACCAAGCTAAATTTCTTCTCTCTATTAGAGCACATCTCTTTATATATCTTTTCAAGCCAATTTTTGTACCCTTAAAGATGATAGATTGGGCAAAATTTTTGTCTGTCATGAGCGGTAAAATTCCTTCAAATGACGGAAAGATGGACACTAGCTAGAACACTGCAGTAAACCGACCTCATCCAGACAGAAGTTACGGATGATGTTCACGGCTCCGTCAGTGATGTAGGGAGCGCCAGCCACTACCTGGTGAAACAACCTGGGGAGGGGCGCAAAACTGAGTCAGTCACCAGTAAAAACACCACATTAGGTAGACCTGTGAATAATTTCATCAGGTTGGTGAATGGTTAAGTATCAAAGTTCTTTATTCACAACTACTTGTTTACAAGAGCCAACGTTTCAATGACAGTCTGTCATCTTCATGACTACCAGTCATCATCGCCTGTCAGAACGGTTATCAAAATGTCGGCTCTTATAAAGAAGTGGAGCTGTGCAGGTCTACCTGCTCCCAGGTTATGCATACTGTGCTTCAAAGGTTGCCCAGTACCAGCACCAGTAGTGCAGGTAGACAGATAAAAAGTATTCCAAGCCATGGTTCATCTCCTCACCCGTCCCTCTGGTCCGGCCGGTTACAGATCCCAGACAGCATCCTGACCATGCACTGCTCGTACCGCTGCAGGGCCGACGGGTCCTTCCCTTTACCGATCGTCTCTGCGTGCATCTTGTACAGACAGGCGAAACCCAGCTCCACTCGCCCACGCACATCCTCCAGGATAAAGTCCTGTACAACTGAGATGAAGGGGAGAAGGCATCATACTGATGTACATGTACCTTCACAGCTTCAAGTCATACAG